CTTCTCACCTTATCACATCAAGGTAAGCACTTCAGTTAACTCAAATTATGTTTTTTGTATATTGCCAGTAACAATTAAGATTTTCAACGTATAGTTACTGGTATTGCTAGATGAATCTTCCAAATACAATGTGAAAGAAAATAACCTAAGGGTAAAATATTCCTTGAATGTGTGTTGCTAGGACCCCCTCTTCCCCAGTACCACATGGCAAATTACCTTGCACGTAACCTACCCTTTATGTCATAAAAGGAAGCTAAGGAGGGTTGGCTTGAGAATGGCTACCTTATCCCATAAAAAGCAAATCTTAGTTGTAAAATCCCTCCAGGAACAAGCATGTCAACAAATAATTTGGTGTGAAATGATTGAAGGGATTTGCTCTACTGGGAGATAAGGGGCTAATGAGAAAGAAGAACCTGTCTTCATTTTTAATGATGGGTCTCCACCCTGTTATTGTAGAAGCTGCTTACTGCCTCTTTGGCAATGGCTCGTTGGCAGCTCCATGACAGTGATGTCTATCGCAAACACAACTAACCCAACACAGTCAGAGCCAACACATCGGCTGTCAGTGTACTTGCAAAAACAGTAAGTAGTTATCCTCAGAGGTGGCTCAAGTTATAACCCTACCCCGACTGGCAAGAGTGCATACAAATTGTAACTCACACACTGCCCTTTCAGTTGCTTCCGGGTGTTAATCGGGTCCGAACCAACAGCTTCCAATCCAAACTCTTTCCTGCACCTCTGCAGCTTACACCACGGCCGCTGTGCTACTGCATGGCTTTAGATAGTTTGATCGGACAAACCATGACACTGCCGTCGAGTCACCTGGGTACCGCGCCCATGACATCATCACTTTCTTCTGATTCATGATAAAAAACAACCTTCGTGAACCACCTTGCTAAGACAGCGGTAAATAACTGAGTGAACACAGCAATCACTAAACACGCTGGATTATCACAGGTGTTAGTTACACTGCCTACTAACACTTAAATTATAATACTGTCAAGCTAGCACCTTACCACAAACTAAACATTTCTTAAACCACTAGTGTCTGAACATAAACAACTACGAAAACTCTAGCAGTCAAAAACACATATTGTCCCATCCCTTAGTTTTCTCCTGTCTCCCTTCAAACCTTTCACCAGCCCATTTTGTTACCCCAGTTGCTCAGTCTTGCATCCGCAAGTCCCCAGTGGAGTTCGCTGGGGTCGTCGTCTTGTTCATGCTGTCTAGTCACCATCTTCGTGTTTTTGTGAACGTGTTTTCAGGTCTATGGTCAAGTCAGTACTTGTCCATTGGTTACTATCATCATACTCTATCCATCCATAGCCACACAGACCTGTGATGTAGAACGAACAAACAAACTTTATTTTCAGAGGGTCACAAATTTGGGATGCAGGCCTGTCTTACATTAAACCCATCTAAACACTTGTCTTTCACACAGTAGTTGTATTTTATCTTTCAAGCATGCTATGTTCGTATGAATTTGTAGGGTATGTATGTACTGTTTGAGGGTACTCAAAACGTATGAACCCATTAATGCACATGGTTTGATCCTTTATGGTTTGGTCTCTGTCCACAGGTCAACTGTAGTCAGCTTCACAATACTGCGTTCTGTAATCACAAAATGAATGTTACAGCTAAAAAGCTTTCATCAGCATATAACACAAACGAGCAGCAGTATAATTGCAAACAAGAATAAATGAAATCGCTGAACTTCTTGGTGTGGCGTGTTGTCCCTGTGTGGGTTATGGGGCCCCAGTGTGAAGAGGAAAGAAGAATACCCCCCCCCCCCCCCCACCCGTTCCCTCTTTTCATCAATGAAGCATGTTGTAAAATTTGACTAATTAGAGGTGTTCTTCAGAAATTGTTGTTCATGTGTCTGAAAGGTAAGGAACCAACAGCCTGCATACAAATAAGCCAGAAAATAGATGTGCGCACAAAACTCAAGTTCTGGAAAAGAACTAAAGTCCAAAAGTGGACGAACGACCAGAACTTTCCTCCTAGTTAGTTTACAACCGGGGAACATTAAGTAGACTAAGAAGAGCAGTAGACGCTTGGAATAACATGTTGTTGTTGTAGGAGTAAGATACTGGACTGGAACTGGTAATGATGATTGTGGCCACTTTTCATTTTATTTTCATTGGGACCAACATATTCTGATTCATGTTCTTCTCAATTTACCTGTTGATAGTTCCGGAAGCTGAGTACGGCCTCAGAATGCCTGTTTGCCATCGTGAATGGAGATGACATGTATGTGACATTCTCCTCACTGAACGACAAGAGCAGCAATGCCATCTGGTACTTCCTGAGGGTCTACCTGTATATTTTCATCGCTCTCTTCATCTATGTGGTGATCAGTGTTTTTATTGCTGTCATCATGGATAACTATGAGAATCTCAAGGTAGGCATGAGATTAGCTATGTGTATTTTATCCTTAGAATTCTTCTTTAGAATTTCTTGGACACCCAATAAGAGCAACGTTTTGAAAGAGACAAAGGCTCAAAGACAACTTATCACAAACATCAGAAAGAGAGACATAATTTGTCAAACATGTTGTGACCACTGGAAAGATCTGTGGAGAGAAGAGACAGGAAGACGGAACAATAAGATTCTTGGAAGCCTTTTGTCATGGCATGGAGCAGTGTTAACACATGACAGTGTGTAGTATTTATACACTTGACAGTGCATAGTATTTATACAGTTGACAGTGTGTAGTATTTATACACTCGACAGTGTGTAGTATTTATACACATAACATTGTGTAGTATTTATACACTTAAAAGTGTGTAGTATTTATACACTTGACAGTGTGTAATATTTATACTCTTGACAATGTGTAGTATTTATACACACTCAACAATGATTAGAATTTCTACACTTAACAGTGGGTAGTATTTATAGACTTAAAAGTGTGTAGTATTTATACACTTGACAGTGTGTAATATTTATACTCTTGACAATGTGTAGTATTTATACACTCAACAATGATTAGAATTTATACACTTGACAGTGGGTAGTATTTATACACTCGACAATGTATTGTAGTTATGCTCATGGAAATTAGTAGAATATTTTAAGTGGTGTTGAATAAAGACCACAGTCTCCAGTGATTAGTTTATCTTATCCAACACCAGTCCGCCGTCTTTTCCTCACCTCTGGATTCATTTAAATGTGTTTAGTCCTCTCCCAACAGCTTCACAAGAATGATTATAGCATAATTCATGTGTTTAAAAGCTTCACAAAAATGATTATAGTATAATTCACTGGCTAAAAGTTTCACAAGAATGATTATAGCATAATTCATGTGTCTAAAAGCTTCACAATAATGATTATAGCATAATTCATGTGTTTAAAAGCTTTACATAAATCATTATAGTATAATTCACTGGCTAAAAGCTTCACAATAATGATTATAGCATAATTCATGTGTCTAAAAGCTTCACAATAATGATTATAGCATAATTCTCGTGTCTATACAGGAACCATTTAATCAATGTTTATAGTTGATTAGTAAATTGTTTTGTTGTATTATTTCCCCATGCTTCTTCTCCTTACAGTAGTACAGATTTAACATCAGAGTTAGTTAGTCCGTTTAGCACTGAGAGTTTCTTGTGCTGTGAAAGCTGCTCTTGAGTTTTGTATTTGCATTTTTATATTTCTATCTGAGTTTTATGAGGATGCTATATTAAAGCAGACTATTTGATAGTGTTTGTTAATCTTTAACTCTTCTTTCTTCACTGTCACTGTAAGTGAACTTTCATTTTCTCTTCCAGCACTGTTATGTGCATTAGCTTGTAACTTCTCTATCAGGACTGTTATGTGCATTAGCTTGTAATTTCTTTATCAGCACTGTTATGTGCATCAGCTTGTAACTTCTCTGTCAGCTCTGTTATCTGCATCAGCTTGTAACTTCTCTGTCAGCTCTGTTATCTGCATCAGCTTGTAACTTCTCTATCAGCTCTGTTATGTGCATCAGCTTGTAACTTCTCTATCAGCACTGTTGTGTGCATCAGCTTGTAACTTCTCTGTCAGCTCTGTTATGTGCATCAGCTTGTAACTTCTCTGTCAGCTCTGTTATGTGCATCAGCTTGTAACTTCTCTGTCAGCTCTGTTATCTGCATCAGCTTGTAACTTCTCTATCAGCTCTGTTATGTGCATCAGCTTGTAACTTCTCTGTCAGCTCTGTTATGTGCATCAGCTTGTAACTTCTCTATCAGCACTGTTGTGTGCATCAGCTTGTAACTTCTCTGTCAGCTCTGTTATCTGCATCAGCTTGTAACTTCTCTATCAGCACTGTTGTGTGCATCAGCTTGTAACTTCTCTGTCAGCACTGTTGTGTGCATCAGCTTGTAACTTCTCTGTCAGCACTGTTGTGTGCATCAGCTTGTAACTTCTCTATCAGTTCTGTTATGTGCATCAGCTTGTAACTTCTCTGTCAGCACTGTTATGTGCATCAGCTTGAAACTTCTCTGTCAGCGCTGTTATGTGCATCAGCTTGTAACTTCTCTATCAGCACTGTTATGTGCATCAGCTTGTAACTTCTCTATCAGCTCTGTTATGTGCATCAGCTTGTAACTTCTCTATCAGCTCTGTTATGTGCATCAGCTTGTAACTTCTCTATCAGCACTGTTATGTGCATCAGCTTGTAATTTCTTTATCAGCACTGTTATGTGCATCAGCTTGTAACTTTTCTATCAGGACTGTTATGTGCACTAGCTTGTAACTTCTCTATCAGACTTGTAACTTCTCTATCAGCGCTGTTGTGTGAATACATTTTAAATTTCTCTTTTAGTACTATTTGTGCAGCAACTTGTAACTTCTCTGTCAGCACAATCATGTAAATAAACTTTTAATTTCTCTTTCAGCACAATCACTTTTAATTTTTCTTTCATACTGTTGTGTAAATAAACTTTTAATTTCTCTGTCATACTGTTGTGTAAATAAACTTTTAATTTCTCTGTCCTACTATTGTGTAAATAAACTTTAAATTTCTCTTTCAGCACTATTATGTGCATGGCTTCCCAGAAACGGAAATTCAGTCGTTTATTAAAGAGGGTGGAGAAATGCCACTTACAGAGGTCTTCAGACATGTGGACAAAGAGAACACATGGCAGAACTGGTTTTTCTGCATATTCCCATGTCTGTCATGTCTACGCCGGTAAGTGTGTACCTTGTACGCTTTAAAAACTTTTTTTTTTAAATAAGAAGGAAGGACATTTATCTTATAACTTATTTTATACCACTAACACTTAACAGCAAAGCTTAAACAGAACCTAGTCATACACTTATCATATATCAGCACAATCAAGCGCCAGCTTTGTGTACACTCTTACACAACTCTTGCTTACCACCGCTTCAGCATTCCTCAGTGATATCTAAGCAACTCTTTCTTACTCCTAGATGAAACACAGGAAACATCTTAACAGCTTTGTACTTGTTTTTCATTCTCGATAATTTCCCTATGTGTGGCTTCCACGAACCCAGTTTTAGTGGGAAGAAAAAAATAATACACCCAGGGCCCCATAACAGAGAACATCATAAAAGGGCTATTCTGAAATTGGATGTGATTTGTTGAAAGGCACAGATTTTGCAGCTTTCCTGTAAACCACAATACAGCTGAGCCTTTTAAAGGTGAATGTGGCAAAAGAAGTTTAGATTATCATCATTACACTTTGGTCTAGGGTATATCTATAGGTGCTCCATTTACTAAGAAGAGTTGATACGAGGCTGTTATATGGAAAATAATAATAGACCCACTACTTACCCAAAAGCATGTCGTAAGAGTCGACTAATTGGGAGCTTTCTTAAAAGTAGTGAATCTGCCTGAGTGGCAAGGAACCAGCAGTCTGCATACAAATGAGTCAGATCTGTAAAATGGATGAACACACAACATTCAGGGATGGAACAGGACTGCAGTCCAGAAGTGGATGAACAGTCAGAACTTTCTGCCAGAGTTTACAGCTGGTGAACGCGAAGAAGAAGAAGAAGAAGAGAATAGAGAAAGAAGGTCGAGCAAAGCATACAGTAACATAGGACATATGATCACCAGAAGACATCATATATCTTGTGACTTGCTTCCTTTTACAGTAGGACCTTGTTAACACAAATTTTAAGGCTTTGAAAACTGAGTTCATGTTAAAAACAAAACAATTGTGTGCTTATTGTGGACCAATAACTGTAAGACATCCCTGCTGGGACCATAATTTTTTGTTCATATGAACTGAGTGTTCTTCTGAAGCAAGTTCATGTTAATGAGGTGTACATTTCTTGCTGTTTGTTGTGTTCCATCACCTTTGTTTCTCAGCTTTTGCTTCATTGATAACAGTTGCTGAATACTTGTATGTGATTGTATATGTTGGATATGAACTAGTCTTCAACTCTTGTCAGACGCAAAACAGCTGTTAGTAAAGTTCCTTTTTCCACACCTTTAGGCATATAGGGCTAGACCTATATTTGTATAGACCAATTAGCACAAGATAGGTGATGTGATCATCACGCCGGCCACCTTTACTTCCTGGGACTGCACCCGGTAACCCATTCAAGGTTGGGTCGACCTGGGAGTCAAGGTCATTTAAAAAAAGACCAGTGAGCGAACCCACGACTTTCCGCTCCGCACGAGAGCGTCTAGCCGCTACAGCCACGGCAACTTCCCCAAACAGCTGTTACTGAAAGTATTTTTTATATCCAAAATCTTGTGACAGTATGAGATAAGGATGAGCAGGTGACAAGGCTGTAGTTTTTGGTTTGATCTGTTTAGATTGATATATTATAGAACAAAAGAGTTTACAGTAACAGTCAGGATCTAATGAGTTAATGAAACAATGGGATGGCTTTGAAAGAATTATTTTTTTGGGTACCAAACAGTGCATCAGAAAGGTTCTTACACATGGCTATATTTACTTAGTTCATTATGACTACCTAGGCCGGTATAGTGTGTGTTCCACAAACCAGTGATTAAATAGCAGCTTTATGTTTTTCAGCAAGTACATGCCGTACAAACAGTTCAAAGAAGAACTAAAATTGTAACATTGGTAATTATTGAATGTGTGCACCCAGTAACAGAAACTCTTATGTATATATCCTGTGATAATATGTCATCTGTGCTGTACCTCAATGTTGTACCTAACATAAATCTTGCCTGTACTTCCTATGATGTACCTATGTGTTGTAGCTAACAAAAATATGTTTTTATCCAGAATGTACCTTGAGTATTGTACAATACATGTTATCTGGCTGAGATATAGATCTGATATTCAGCCTTTAATTGAATCAAAATCTGTTAGAAATTAAAGTTTATAGCATTTTTTATTTGAAACATTAAAAATGGAAGTTATTAATTTATCTATAAACATAATGTATTGAAAGATTGTTTCATTTCTGTTAAATCTAATGAGTGAGTTAATATGAAATTGTAAAATGTTTTCTTTCGACTGAACACAATCTCTGAACCACATACAAACAGCAGGTTTTTTTCAAACCTGTAGGGTGAATCAATATAACTGTGTTGTACAGTTGAATGGGGTACCTACAGTTTGTTCCTGATTTATTCAAATCCTAAAAGTGACACCTTGAGTCACCGGGTGTCATTCTTGTCAGCTTGCATCAGTTTGTTAGTGGTAATCATCATGTAGCAGGTCCTGTGCAGAACATCACTCTCATCACAGCCTACCTAAAAAAAAAATGGTCTCTCACCCGATCTCCCAGCCTTTGTATTTCCACCCAAGGTGTTACTTATATATCCTGTGCCCGTTTGGTCTGCACCTGCCCCCTCTTTCCTGGCATCAGGCCTTATGCTACTATACTTTCAGCACGTGATATGACCAAAATATTTCAGTTTCAGAGGCAAGTGTTTACTAGGCAGTCTTCCTTGATGTTTAGATCTTTTAGGATGTCTGTATTTCTTTTCCTCTTGGTCTTCCTCTAATCTGTCTGATATCATTTCTAACTTTTGTCTCGAATAGTAAAGTTAGTGGCTTTTCTTTTAACTATTATATCCAGTTTATTATATATGTAACTTTGAGACTTTTTCTATTAAGTTAGGGGTAGAGTAAAGGTCAAGGACACTTTTCCTGCCAGTAGCGAATCAAACATATGGTGCCACTGTCATAAGTTTGTAGACAGATCGGCACTTGATGCTGATGGGTGACTTCGTCTATAACAAGCTCTTTAACATTGACATTTTTTGGGGGATGTTGACAAAAAAGTCACAAAATATTTTTATTAAGCATAGCAGGAAGTTGTAGCTAATGGAGCAAAAACACAACAACCTAGTTGTTTGCATGTATGTTGTAAATACTAATAGCATGATATATTGTCATTCCGCATGAACCAGATAATAAATATTCACATCTTCTTATTTCTAGTGACGAGTTGTAAATTTTACTAACTTTCTGTTACACTTGTCCAAGTCCAGTTTTGTTACACTCTTTCTCTTGAGTTTTGAGTTGAGAACTGATGCCATAAAACGAGGCATTCCTGTAAGCGCTCCATTCCTATCTTCAGCAGTAGGTGCAGAGTTCTGATGACGATGGTACCAGACAGTCTGATTGTATATCGTTTTGACCTTCCACCTTTGTAGGCGGAAAGAAATGGTCGTTACCTTACGGTTACCTTGGTGAAACAGACAGTTCAAGAATGTAGTCGAATTTTTTTTTCTTCAGTTTCTAGGATTGTGCTATTTGCTTCATTTTAATCAATTGTTACTATAGCATGCACCTGATGAGATACAGCGAAATATGCCAGGCAATCAATTGTGCAGTCTATAGTTTGTGTCTTCTTTGTTCAACTTCCACTGAGTGTCGTCGAGTGTTGGCCACATCCCCTGGTCACTCCTTGCTGCTCCGTTCTCTTCAGACCGTGATGATCTGTTTGTGCCTCCACTCTATTTACCTTCTGCCAAAGAGCCCTTACAACGTCTGTCCTTTTCTTTTTCTTGAATTCTTGTCCTCATCTTTTCCTTTCTGTGTAACTTTCCTTTCCTAGCCAATGTAAAAATCTTAATATAATCACCAGCTTCTTTTCCTCTTAGCCTAATATATAAATATGCAAGTATTTACTGGCACATTTAATCTTGAATGTTAAATGTTAAATTAAGAATCGACATCACAGCACTCTGGACACCCCCATAAGTGCTCTGTCCCCATCTTCAGCAGCAAGCGAAGAGTTAAAATTCTGATAGTACCAGTAACTGTCTGATTGTATATCCCTCTCACCTTTCCCCTGAGTATCGAGCGTCGGCCAGATCCCCTTGTAACTCCTCGCAGCGCCATTCTCCTCAGACTGTATTTATCTGTCTGTGCCTCAGCACTGTTCACTCACTCCCAATGGGTCCTAACAACATCCAGCTTGTCATACATGAGTTCACTGCCCGCTCATACCCAACACACCGGCATAACCTGGAGAAAAAACTCAAAGGATGCTAACTACCCGGGAACTTTGAAGTGATTTTTGACACTCTGCACGGAGCATGCTGGTTCACCTTTCTCAACATCTTCTTCTTCTTTCTTCTTTTGTCAAAATCTGCTTGTGCCGCTAGGCGTCGCAGTCTATCAGATGATCGGGAGCATGCTGGTTCACCTTTCTCAACATCTTCTTCTTCTTTCTTCTTTTGTCAAAATCTGCTTGTGCCGCTAGGCGTCGCAGTCTATCAGATGATCGGCAACCGAGCCAGGGCGCGCTCAGTCACTTCATATGCCGTGATGTTATGAAGTCTCAAGTTGTCAGTGACTCCTTCAATCCATCTTCTTCTTGGTCTTCCCCTGCCTCTTGGTGTTTCGATTTTCATGTTGTATGCTCTTGATGCTGGCATCGTTGGTTCCATTCTCATTAGGTGACCAAACCATTTCATTCTTTGCTTCTCAATAAATTTAACGATGGGTATGGTTTCTCAACATGCTCTGACACATTTAGAAGCCGAGAAAAGAAAAAGCTCAGGACACCTTCTTGTGCCATAAGCAGTGATGTCTGCTAACCTTGTACAAAGTTCCAACTTCCGGTAGATGCAAGCACAGACAGATGTGCAGTTTATCTGTGAATGCATACATACAATTTGTGGATTAAAATGAGAAGCCGCTACATTTGTTTTTTAAATATAAGATTGTAGGCAGTTTTAAATCTAAGCTTATTTCTTGTCTTGACTACAGCGATGCACCCAGTGATACTCAAATTCTTCGACTGGTATATATTTTACAATATTTTTCTGCTGTTATAAGTTATATTTCTCATAATTTTGACAATAATTGCATGCATTGTTTTGATTTTCTTCTTGTGAGGGAGTATTGTTTTAACAGTGAATAATTACTGAGTTCAGAGCATAGTTGTCACTTAGTCGATTAAAACCTATTAGAGGATTATGTAATATAATTTATATGATTACAACAAAATAGAATAGATAAAAGTCTAAGATAATAATATAACAAAAAAAATATTTTTAAACAACTAGAAAATTTCAGGGTGGACATTTTAAAATATATATTTAAAAGAAAATTGCATTTGTGACGAAGAAAAGAAATTGTTTGAGGCCTCTGAAGGCTGTGCAGCCCTAAGCTGTAACTTATTTAGCTTATGCCTAATTTCATCACGGCCTGCATGATTTGAGGTTAATTCTCAAATCAACAAGTGGGTAGAGATGATTATGTTCTGTCCCCACAATTGTTAACAAACTTGTGTCCGTTGTTTACAAGAATCAAGCTGAAGAACTAAAAGTGGGACTGTAGACAGAGATAGGTTGTATTTCAAGGAAACACCTCTTAGCTTTATTATGACTGTGTATAGGAGAGGGCAAATTGAATCATACAAGGCTTATATTATACTAAAAGAGGAGAGGGACATAGAGCAAGAGGTAGACCAAAAACCATATGGAAGGATACAGCACCACAATGTGGCTATGGTTGAAGCAGCCAGAAGAGCACGAAGCAGGACCTTATATCTCCCTCGATACCCGTAGTGGTATACAAAAAAAGGAAGTAAAGAAGAAGCAGAAGATTGAACCAGATCATTGAGTTTGTTAAAAAGTTTAGTAATTAATGTGTAACCTCTGAATATTTAAAAAATGTAGTGAACAAATATGTTTAGGTATCTTTATACCGGCATATTAAATGCAAACTTATGTATTTATGGGATTATGTAATTAGATGTGCATGTGTGTGCATTATTATATATATGTGAACACGTATGTATGTGTGGGTATTGTGTAATTAAATGTGCATGCATTTATGATTAAAATTGTGTAATTACATGTGCATCCTAATACAGTTTCTTTCATAATCTCAACCCAGATCAAAGCAAAAGGCGAAAAAAATACAAATTACATTTTAGTCCTATAAATAACCACATGATATATTCTATTTTAAATAACAAATATATACTCTGAGATCTCTAATAACACTGTATATCCCAATTATAACCCTGAGGGTTAAACAGGATATTTTTGAAAAATTACTACTACTACTATACTACTACTACTACTACTACTACTACTACTACTACTACTACTACTACTACTACATGTGCAGGCATTTATGTTTAATATTGTGCAATTGCATGTGTTCATGTGTACAGTTGTGCAATTACGTGTGCATGCATATATATGTGTAGGCAGTGTAATTACAGGTGCATGCATATAAGTGTAGGCTGTGTAATTGCATGTGCATGCATTTATGTGTAAGGCTGTGTAATTGCAGGTGCATGCATTTATGTGAAGGCAGTATATTTGCATGTGCATGCATGCTGACTTATTAAATGCAGTTATGTGTATGTTTTATCATGAGGGGTTGGGTGGTAACATCTTTATGCCATTGTGGTTATTGGCCTTCAGGAAGCATGGTTAAACCATGATAGCTCTGGTTTTGGAAAGTGGCATTCAGATTTTCAATATTAACTCTCTTTAAGTCTATCTTCTATCTTCTTTTACCCCACAGGACATCACACAAGCGATAAACACCCAATGACATAAAGCGCCACCATGCGGATGAGGATCACCCATGGAGAGGTCCCAGAAACCGCGTTCAGCCATTAGACTATATTTATGGCCAGGTTATACTGCGGCCCCAGGCAAGAGCCAGAGTGGGGCTTCAAATAACGAAAAACTGCATCCTACAAGAGGATGACAAGATCAGCAACTCTCTTTAAGTTAGTTGCGTATTCTTTACAGGACGTTGCAGAACCAGCCCCAGCATTTTTGGGCTAATTTTGCTAAGCACTTTTACCTTCACTAGTTTTCTGTTGCTTTCTGAGCAGTCGGCACTGCATATCATTTGTTGAAATCAATGAAAAGTGGTCTGCTGCCAAATTTCCATGCAACTGGAATCGAACAGGGTATTTCAGAATTCTGAGCACATTGATAATGCCTAGGCGCCAGATGCCTACTGATTTTGTTGCCTGTATTTACCATTTTTAATGGGGGGGGGGGGGATAATTAAAAACACGGAAAGTCTACTTGTAAACATAGAAGTATGCTTCGTGTACCAAAAGTAATGTTTAATTGTTACGTTCCTTGACTCGTATTTGCTTGTCATTGGATTGTTGATCTTTTACTACTGCTTTCTTTGGTTACCTTTATATATGTATAAATATATTTGTTTATGATTTCATAATTTCTTTGTGATAAGATAATTATGTTGTGTTCATAGTGGTACCAACTTGAAGCTTGAATGTGTGGTTCGGTCCCATGATATACCTTCTATATACTACTCTCCATTGGCTGAAGGAATTTTTTTTTTTTTCATCTTTAGATGTTTTATAAAGTTAACCTTTTCAGAATGTATGGATACTTAGTGACCCAGATGTTTGTCTTGTAAAGTTTTGGGGGGGGGGGGGGGGGGTAAACTTAAGCAATGCGTACATAAATGTAGTTTCTTTAATGAAAATTAAATAAAATTGCTGTGTCAAATATATGTTTAGAAGGGACTTCATGCTTTACACTGTGATCCTTTAAAATTGAAAATAATTTGATCATTCTCCGTCTCTCTCTCTCTGTCTCTCTCTCTCTGTCTGTCTCTCTGTCTCTTTCTCTCTCTTTCTCTCTCTCTGTTTCCCTCTTTACTTTATTTCTCAAACTATCTCTTCATCACTCTCTATTTCCTGCTCTGTTTTCTTCTGTCAAACCACCCAAAAGAAACTATTTTCAGATTTGTAGATTTCATAAATTTTGTTGTTGCAAATATGACATAAATTATAAATAAACATTAATTATTTTTAATTGCAAATATATAAAACAGACTAAATGATAATATTGTTAATCTCACTGATCAGTTAGTTATTTTACTTTGTGTTTCACTTATTTGTTTGCAATTCTTAGGCACTCTTATTTTCTTCAACAGGAATCAAAAACAGAAATCTCTGGAACTTGACAGACAGTTTCTAGTCTCAGTGTGAAGCAGCTGGCGTCTTTCACCACAGCATGCCATGTTTTGTTAGTCAAGATTTGTAAATAGATTTTTACGTGCCCTTTTGGTAAACATTGTGATGTGAATTATTACAAACTACAACTGCATCCATCTGGGAAGCAGGGTGCATCAGTCTGTATACAAATAAGCCAGATCTGTAAAACAGGCATGCACCCAAAACTGAAGTTCTGGATGCAGGCCAAAGTCCAAAAGTGGATGAACAATTAGAACTTTCTACTGGAGTTTGCTATATTTGTCGGAAAATATGCGCTGGCATAGAACGGACATTATAAAGGTCCAGGCTTCATGCAGAGGAAGAATCTTCAAAACTTTTAAAGTATAAATGAAAGTTGATATTCATTTCTAAACACATTATTATATTTCAGTCAGCATCTGTTGACTACTCAATACTTAATTTCTTGCTGATTTCTTACTAAGTACTTTACCATTCATTGGACTGAATATTACCATTCATTGGACACACATACATTGAACTGCAGGTTACATCATAACGACAGTGTTCCAGTATAACGATGAAGGTGTGAGTGTGTTTGAATTCACTCACTGACACACTTACTGACACACACTTACACTCACAGACTTACACACACACACACACAAACACGCACGCACACTCACTCACTCACTCACTCGCTCACTCAGGGTTGTAGTGAGTTTTAGTGATTTGCTTCTGTTTATATAATAATCAGCAGTTGATGAATATGATCAACAAATACCCACCAGCACCTTGATTCCCTAGAACTGGGCTCTTCAACTAAGTTTACTCAGGGGCCAATATTTGGAAGCTGGGATCATCACAGGTCAAAGGCCCTACCCCCAGCTTAGAAAGATCATTAATAAAGTACAACTGGCAATGATTGTGCGGGCCACTTGCTAGGCCTCTGCATTCCAGATTAGGCCCCTGGGCTGCCAGTTGAATCGCCCTAGAAGATATTTTAGAACCCAATTTTTGGCTGGGTCCTCACGAAGCCAGAGTCAATTAAAAACAAAAACCGACCCCCCAATAAAGATATGATCACACAGCCACTGAGCCAGCACTTACTACATCATGCTTGAATCAGGGTAGATAGGAGACATTTTGTTGTAGGTAGGCGACATTTTGTTGTAGGTAGGAGACATTTTGTTGTAGGTAGGAGACATTTTGTTGTATGTAGGCGACATTTTGTTGTAGGTAGGAGACATTTTGTTGTAGGTAGGTGACATTTTGTTGTAGATAGGAGACATTTTGTTGTAGGTAGGAGACATTTTGTTGATGAAACAAACGAATGGAAGCCTTCTTTCACTGTGTTATATCAAGATATAGTTGGGATATTCACTTCAGCAGAAATAGTTTGTTAGTGATTTGATGTATAATTATGGTAATCATCATCATCAAATGACTTGCCAACTGGCATGAGCGATCATGCCTCTCTACAACCTGCGATCTTCAACGGCATGTAACTGTTCATGTACTGACATCTCTCTGTGCCATGACAAAGGGCTACCAAGAATCTTCTTTTTGCTTTGTCTTCCTCTATTTTAGTTTTTTGTTTTTCATACAGATGTAATCACCGTACATGTATTGTATGTGATCAGATTACTTTCTACATTTATGGTAATGATAGACACTTGTTGTGTATGTTCAGATTACTGTATAGAATTATGAAAATGATAACGACACATATGGTGTAGATGGTCAGAATACTGTATAGAACTATGATAAACACACATATAGTGTAGATGGTCAGATTACTGTATAGAACTATGATAACCACACATATAGTGTAGATGGTCAGATTACTGTATAGAACTATGATAACCACAC